AATGCTGTTTGTTGACCAACTTGTATATTGGCTATTTTCTACCATGTTCCCATCTTTTTTATCTTTTATTTTTTTCTTTCAACGCATTTTATACTTTAAACTCAGCTAAGTTTAATATTAACTAACTTAATATTAACTTAAGCTAAGCTCAGCTTAGTTTAATATTATCATTTTATTCTATTAAGTTTTAGTCTAAGCGTTTTTTTCCCCGCCTCACGTTGCCCGAAACGCTATGCGTACTAGTGACTATAATAATAATAATAATAATAATAATAATAATAATAATAATAATAATAATTCATTTAGGAAAAGTACATACATAGTTGCAGAATTACAGTACAAACATTCTGTTAGATTTAAAGATAGAGGCAGTACATACAATACCTAAAGCCACTAGTACGCATAGCGTTTCGGGCAAGGAGAGGTAGGGGAAAAAACACTTAGACTAAAACTTAATAGTAATTTTAATTTGTAATTACAATTACATTATTAAATTATTAATAATGCACTTTTAATTACAAATTAATTTTAATTTTCAAATTAATTTTAATTAAAAATTGTAAATTAGTAATAATGTAATTTATTAATAATGTTAAATTAATTATTAATAATAAATTATAAATAATTACAATTACATTATTAATTAATAAATTGTAATACTTTAGGTATTGTATGTACTAGCTCTATCTACAAATCCAACATTATGTTTGTAACTAATCCTCTATGTATGTACTTTTACCTGAATAAACATTTGATTTGATTAGAAGTAATTACCAAAAATGGCACGTACCTCGCCGGGAGGATCACCGCTACTATGCGGCCCCCTGCCCCTTGTGGCTCCTGTACACTCTCCTCGACGACTTTACTGCTAGTTATATTAATTACAACAATATTAATTATATAGCTAACTAAACACTATTGCAGCCTAACTAAAAAAATATATCACGGATATAACATTTCTCCTAACATTAACAAACCACCTCTAGAGACAAGGGAGATAAGCTTTAGGCTGCACAATGAAACTGCCATAGGTAATTTTATAGCTGCTGCTGCTAATGTCAACTGGGAGTCCGAATTAGGTAACATAGGGGACATCAACCTAGCAGTGCAATCTTTTCTTCATAAAACTCTCAGCCTTTATAACACCCACTGTCCTATGCTAACGAAACAAGTCATAGCTAAAAGGCTAAACAATCCTTGACTTACAAAGGGGATACTTAAATCCATTAATAAAAAACATGACCTTGAGAAGAAGTATAGGTTAGGAATCGTCCCCAAAGAATTTTCAAAGAATTACTCGTCATTGCTATCTAAAATAATTAGGAGAGCCAAAATTAAATACTACGAAGATAAATTTACCTACACAAAGGGCAACATTAAGAAATCATGGAGCACAATTTCACAAATATTGGGATCAAAGAAGATTTTAAATAACAAACAAATCCTCCTGTCAAATAATGATGGTCTGCTTTCAGCCTCTGACACTGCTTTTGAGTTCAATAGGTTCTTCTCTTCCATTGGGTCATCCCTTGCAAATAATATTCCATCTTCCAGTACTAATATTCAGGACTATCTTACAGCTAACTATCCACAGTCTCTGTATCTAATGCCTACTAATTCCACTGATGTTACTGACATAATCCTTTCCCTTAAAACCAAGTCTAGTGCCCTTGAGGAGATACCAACTCTTATTTACAAAAAAGCCTCCAGATTTTTAGCTCCTGCCATTGCATTGCTCTTCAACAAGTCACTTGAACTCCAAACCTTTCCAGATATTCTAAAAAAAAAGCGAGAGTAACCCCTGTCCACAAATGTGGTGATCTCACTGATGTTAACAACTTCAGACCTATATCAATCCTGCCTAACTTGTCAAAAATATTTGAAAAACTTATCTACAAGCAGCTTTACTCTTATCTAGCCAAACACAATATACTTAGCTCTTGTCAATATGGCTTCAGACCCCAAAAAAACACTAACGATGCACTTATTTGTATGATTAACTTGATACATGCAGCTCTTGATAAAAATGAGTTCCCTATTAGGTTATTTGTGGACCTGCGTAAGGCTTTTGACACTGTCAACCACCAAAACCTTCTTCTTAAATTACAACATTATGGAATCAAAGGTCACTCCCTGCCGTATCTTAAGTCTTACCTTACTGACAGGCTCCAATATGTTTCTGTGAATAATTCAATTTCTCCCACCCTACCCATCAACATTGGTGTTCCCCAGGGCAGCATACTTGGCCCTCTCCTCTTTCTCATCTACATTAATGACCTCCCAACATCTCAAACCAATTCTATTTGCTGACGACACGACCTTCATTTACTCCAGTCCTGACCCCCTTGCTCTAAATGTCACAGTGAATACTGAGCTAAATAAAGTCCATCTTTGGCTAACTGTAAACAAACTCACCCTCAATATTGACAAAACTTTCTATATTTTGTTTGGCAATAAATCCTCAAATCAAATAAATCTCAGGATTAACAATACCCAAATTTGTAACAAAGTAGATGGCAAATTCCTTGGCGTTCTCATTGACCGCAAGCTGAATTTCCAGGGACGCATTCTAAATATATAAAAAAAAGTTTCAAAAACTGTTGCCATTCTTTCTAAGATCAGATATCATGTACCTCGCCCTGCCCTGGTGACAATCTATTACTCTCTCATCTATCCTTATCTTAACTATGGTATTTGTGCTTGGGGTTCTACTTCCCAAAATCATTTACGTCCTCTAATTACTCAACACAAAGCTGTTATTATGACAATATCTAACTCTGTCCTCAGACATCACTCGGTACCCTTACTCAAACCTCTGAATATGTTAGGTATTAAGTCACTGCACATCGTCTCATGTGTATTTTATATATATAAAACGCTGAACTGTAATGTCAATCCTGACCTTAAAAGCTTCCCAGAAGGTTGTAACAGATCCCATGAGCACCACACCAGAAACAAATATCTATTTGATATTCCAAGAGTACGACTTAGTCAAACTAGAAATGCTTCACAAATCAAGGGACCTCGAATGTGGAATGACCTTCCCAATTATGTTAAAGACTGTACCTCTCCCAACCAGTTTAAGATAAAAACTTAGTACCACCTAATTAACTCAATGTAACCTACCTCACCCCTAAATGTCAACTCATGTCTACGATTTTAAACAATGTTGTTTGTTGACCAAATTGTATTTTTGCTTTTTTCTGCCATGTTACCCCCTCCCCCCCTCTTTTTTTCATTTTTTTCTTATTTTTTTTCAACACAATTTATACTTTAATCTCAATTAGTATTAAGTTTTAGTCTTAGTGTTTTTCCTGCCCCAAATGCTTTGCGTAATAGTGGCTTTAGGCATTGTATGTACTAGCTCTATCTATAAATCCATCACCTTTTGTATTTCCTAGGGGCCTCGTAGAGGAACCCAGGGTCGTAACAATCAGGTAAAGTTTCCTGACGACAATTATGTTTAAAACCGTGCAGCGGTTTCTTCTCCCCTGCTGTATCCCTGATATCTACTAGAGCAAGAGCAGGACACGCTACAAGAAACAATGGGGCGTAAGAAACGAGCATCACGAGAGGTGTCCGTCCCTCTTTACCTGGTCGGCCATCACTAGTTAGTATCTGTACGGCTAAAAGGGCAGTGAGTTCATTTCGCGGTGGACACCGGCTCACGCGACACCCTCGTTACGGTTCCCATTATGAAGAAACATGGCTTGGAGGCCGTAATGGGCAAGGATTTTAAGCGTTTAGATAAAATGGAGTCCATAGACATAAATGATAACGAATGGAAGCCAATGGACTTCTCAAAGATCTACAATGGGGTCCTGAAAGCTAAACCTTATTTCCGGAGAGCACATTTATCCCTGGATGCAGAGATCTATGTTGCTGATTTACCCGCAGATGAAGCCTTACTGGGCATGGATATTTTAGTTGCACATAACTGTTCAATAATCAACGACCTGAAAAATCCCCGACTAATAATACGGCCACTGAAAAAGCACAAGCTGCAGAATACAAAGTACTTTGTCACAAACTACAATTCCATCAGACTCAAAACCAAAATAAACGGCAAGAGATCAACGGCTTTTCTGGACACCATTTTCTGGCGTCCATAACTATGAGCAGACGTTGTGCCAGAAAACTATAGGCCTTAAAATTGAATCGTGTGAAATAAAAGAAGTGACAAATTTGCACATGACATTATTAGGTAGGTGACATTATTTCAGTCGCACCAGGTAGCAAAATCAAAACTCGGCCCCCAACTAAAACGCAAAAAGTCATCCAGTGACCTCCGGCAGAGCGGAAGCCAGCCACCCACCACAGCTGAGGGCACACCAGGAGCCCACCAAGACCCACCAACCCCCGGCACCTCTCGGCCAAGCCGGCCCCTGAACACCGTCACCCCGCCGGGAGAACCAACCAGAACACGGCAAAAAAATCTATCAACAATCCCGTGACCCAAGGCGATATGTGCGCCAGGCGTCGTACAATCAGACCGTTGAAGAGGGATACCAAACGGCAGTAGCAAAGCCAAAACGCGAAAACAAGACGTGATCCGGCGGCTCCCAGGCGGAGGAGGTGTCCAGACGTCCGCTCAGCGTCAAGGTTGAACCAGGAGTCCCACGCTCTGTGTACGAAGTGATCGGAAACCGTGACGTCATATGTAAACAATAGCACGCTGAGACTAGTCGAGTATAAACAATAACATTGTACGGCTGGCGTACCCTGGCGTATGTACCCTGGCGTATGTACCCTGGCATGTCACTACTATGTATGTCAACAACAAAGAGATGCGCAGCTAAAAGGAAAAGAAGGTCGTGAGTATAATTCCTTATCTTTATTAACGTCTAATAAACGTCGGATGATTAGCGGTTTAATAAAAACAAATACTAACCTGTATTGTGAATAAAAACTGTAGTGTTATTTTTCATAACATTAATTGCATCTTTTATTACTATAATTATTATATTATTATTATTGTTGTTGAGTCTAATATGAGTTCTCGTGGTAATAGCGTGAATAGATGACTCGAGCAGCTACCTGATTATGAGATAAGATACCCAATTTCCTCTGGTGGTGTTTATAGCCATGAGAAAACCTTCACTCTGATAAGGTTCATCATATTATTAATCTTAAGGTAGTGAACTAAACTTCACATGTTATGTGGAGTGAGTGCAACCTTGTACAGTTTATTGGGAACCTCAGTCTGGGACAAGCTTGACTTTGTAAGTAAAGTAAATTTTATTCAGGAAAGTACATACATAGTTGTTTTACAAACATAATGTTGGATTTATAGATAGAGCTAGTACAGTACATACAATACCTAAAGCCACTAGTACGCATAGCGTTTTGTAGTGAAGTAAATCATAATTTCATTGTATTTTTATACATAGCCATGCTTTTAACAAATAGAATTTTAATATTTTCGAGCAATTGCAATGTTTCAGGCATCATTGGTGACCAACCCATCTCTGAGAAAATGTAGAACTTTAACATAAACATAAACATTTTATTTAATAATTAATGATAAGAATTTATTGTATCGGGGGATAGGCAGCCAGAGTCTATTCATACACGTTAGGCTTATAACGAAGGCCCCCATCACCCCCTGAGGTCAAATTGCTGACCCTCCAGGATGCAACCCCCCAAAACATGCTGACTAACTCCTGGGTACCTTCTTACTACTAGGTGGACAGGGGCATTAGGTGATAGGAAATGCACTCAATCATTTCTGTCCTGCCCAGGATTCTATCCCAGAATTTTCGACTGTGAGTCGAGAATGAACCCGACTGTATACAGTAGTTCAGTCAGAGATATTTATTTTGAATTTCATGTTTTAATTTAACATTTTATCTATTATTTCTTCATTTATTGCACTGTAATTTATCTTTTCCAGCAGACAATGTTATAAAAACATTGGTAATACATAATGGAATGGTTAACAAAGAAGGTGGTAGCTGCTCTGGTCAATCGATTTTTTGGACAATATCTGGAAGATGTTAACACACAAGAGGTGAATGATGCCCTCTTGTCAGGTCAGGTCAATCTCACCAACCTCAAGATCAGACGGGATGCTCTGGTGAGTGTGTCTTACATTGAATTCAAGAATCAGTTAGCTGTCAAGTTATATATAATAGTTGACAAACTAGTCTTCATGCTTATACTGAAACAACCATTCTTTTAGCAAAAATGTAACCCTTTCAGTCCGTCTGATATTTTTACACTTCTCAGTGATGTACTGAATTGAAAAAGCATTTTATATTAATAGGCATATTTTCTTTTTAAATTTTGAATAATTATTTTTTCTTGCTTATCCAACAGTCTTTTCTTGATGTGTTCTATGGAAGTCCACTCCCCATACAAGTAAAGAAGGGCATAATTGGCAGAATATCACTCACTATTCCTTACAGTAGTTTCTTCACACAACCAGTGGTGATCAATATTGATGTGAGTAACTTTTTGTTGTTAGTAATTCATTCAAGTTCTCTTGTGTGATATGAATAAATATTATTTAAGATTTATTATATGTATACTATAAGATTTATTATATGTATACTGTATATATACATATAATATATATTTATTATGTATATATATATATATATATATATATATATATATATATATATATATATATATATGTATATATATATATATATATATATATATATATATATATATATATATATATATATATATATATATATATATATATATATAATGTTGAATATGATTGAAAGGGTTAGATTAATCATTCTAACACAATTCTTCCTAATATTTCTTATGTTTTTCTTCACTGTCGAGGGAAGTTGAAAAATTAACTCTCCAAAGTTCATTTTTACACTTTATTATGGTCTGATGCCTAGGGATACATTTCACAAGGCACCCCTTACATTTTCAAAGGCAAATTTACATGCATTTGCAAAGGATTATATTATCTTGGGGGTGAGGTGATACAGGACGTGAATAAGAGGAACAAATGGATGAATCACAATGGATATTAATAGGCTATTACATGCACGATCATAAGCAGTTTATATTCTTGCTGCTACTGTCTCTGTGTTGGTTCGGGGTCTTGAAGTGGGTAGAAAGTAATTATGTGTTAACTAGTTGTTGATTGCTGGTCTTGACTTTTTGATGTTTAGGGCCTCGCTGATGTCTAGTCTTCTGTTGTCGTTATACCTGTTGATTATTTCAGTGTTGCTTGTTAAGATGTCTCTGGTGAGGTGTGGTTGTGTGAGGAGATTATATGCTCCTTGATGGAGCCCTGTTGTTTGTGCATTGTTAATCGCTTAGAGAGAGAGAGAGAGAGAGAGAGAGAGAAAGAGAGAGAGACGTTGTTGTCTTGCCTATATACGGAGATCTTTGGGGCTGACAGTCCCCAAGTGGGCATTTGAAGGCATAGGCAACATTGATCTCTTTTAAGGGGTTCTGTTTGGTGTCTGGAAAGTTCCTCATAAGTAGGTTAATGTCATTTACTTAATAATGTCATTTACCTCGCTGTGTCTTGCATGCCATCTTCCTGTGCTTTGGCAAAGCAGGCCATGCTGGCCGTACCTGTCGACCACTGCCTTGCCGCAAATACACCTGTATTTGGTGTGGATTGGGGCAGCGAGGCGGAGAGCCACAGCAATTTGGAAAGCCTGGTGAGACTCGTGCTGGTTGCTGACATGGGTTGTTAATAGGCATTCACCTGCATTGGGAGCTGCTACAGTTCTAAGTTTAGCAGTGTGGTGTGGTGTTGTTGCAGCTTCTAGGCATGTTGCAGCTGCTTGGTCTACAATGGGGCCCTCCCAGCTGGGTTGCTTGCGAGTTTCAGAAGGTAGTGGTTGGAGTGCTGGTCCTGCAATAGAGACCCATTTTGTAGTGCAGTCTGTTAAGCTGGGATCTTGTACCTCTGCCTATTGATCTAGGTAATCGGGTAGGATTTTCTTCACCATGTTGTCAGATGCTACTGAAGAGGACAGGAATGCTGGTACAGCAATTTATATATATGCAACAATGATCACAAAAGCACTTATCCAAGTATGTAGAGACACCACACTCTGTCCCAGTCTCAGTTTTTAATCACTGTTTTTCAATTATGTGTACATTAATTAATAGCTATTCAACACAAACATTACATTGTATAATTAATAAGTAAAACAATGACCTTTGAAACATCCAAGATAAGCATGAGTCTGTTCCTTCTGCATCACTACTGTATGTCATTACTCTCAAGTGTGGTGTCAAATGACAAAAAAAAAAATCTGACTTCCTCCTATAGCATGCAAAAAAAGAAAGATTTTTTTAAGGATTTTGTGATAAATTATCAGATATGATTACATCTTTTTTCGTTAAAAGTTGGTTATTTGTTTGAGACAACTGAATTCAAAATTATGTTTTTGCTTAGTTGATTGAATTGATAACTGATTGATTTTAAATTTGGATTGTGTAATTTTTAGGATGTGTTTTTACTCGTAACACCGGTATTAGAATATGACGAAGAACGAGAGAGAGATCTTGACCGTGCCAGGAAACGACAAACCCTGGCATACTTGTTTCCTGACCTGATGCCCATTGATGATATGCAGGATTCTACTAGCCTCTGGGGTATGTTTTAAGACTTTGTTTATATGTTTCTTATAATTACTTATACAAATGCAGCAACTATTCTTTAAAGAGATTTAAGAAGCTCTATATGTTAAACATGAGACTTGTAAAAGAAATATAATTTAACTTGTTAACTAATTTTGATATTTTGATATTTGCTGACTATTAAAATGTTGTATATTTAAACAACTTACTTGGCAACTTTTGTTTTCCTCATACCAAACTTAAGCTTTCACCTATTTATAATGAAAGGGAGCTAATATACAAACATCATCTTCACTCTAAGACCAAATTGAATTACTCAGATTAGGCAAAATTGTAATTCATTTTGACAATAAAGATGTTAATAAATTTTTTAGAAAAATAAAAAAGTTAACACTTTAGCGCTCTGGGCGCATGACCTCCCCACTACCCCAGGTGGATTTGGGCATTCCACGGGAGCACGCGGTAATTCTGAGAAGTGTATACTCCTTTCAACTTTGTCACCTCAATTCTCGTCCTAAGATATTCAATTTGGTATCAATGTGTTCGCAATAGAATTCTCTAGAGGAGTAAATGCATATAAACTCCTAAAGCCCAGCTTACCACCCGCAGCAAACAGAAAAAGTGCGAGCGAGTGGCCCGGGAGCGTGCTAGAGCGATAAAATGTGTACACTCTTCACTTTGGTCACCTCAATTCTTGTCCTAGGTCTTTCATTTTGGTATCAATGTGTTTGCAATAGAATTCCCAACAGGAGTATATGCATATAATGTAAAAAAAATGCACTGCGCTCCACCCGCCGACAAGATGAAAGAGAGCGCTGCGCCACCCCATGGCTCCTCTCATTACATTAGAGAGCGCGGTAATACTGAAAAGTGTATACGCGTTTCAACTTTGTCACCTCAGTTCTCGTCCTAGGATTTTCAATTTGGTATCGTTGTGTTCGCAATAGAATTCTCTACAGGACTAAATGCATATAAAGCCCAAAAGCCCTGCGAGAAAGTGAAAGCATGTTACTCGGGAGCGCGCAAGAGCAATAAAATGTGTACACTCTCTTTACTTTGGACATCTCAATTCTCGTCTTAGATCTTTCATTTTGGTATCATTGTGTTCGCAATAGAATTCCCTACAGGAGTATATGCAAATATAAAGTCCAAAAGCCCAGCGTACCACCCACAGCAGAGAAAGTGACGGAGCATTACCCCAGTGAGCGCTAATAAAGAGCAATAAAATGAGTATACTCTTTTCAACTTTGTTACCTCAATTCTGGTCCTAGGTCTTTCATTTTGGTATCATTGTATTCACAATGAAATTCTCTACGGGAGTACTGTATATGCATATAATATCCAAAAAACGTGGCAAGACCTTCCCGAAAATGCCGCTACATTGCCAAACCGAGGACTCAATGCTGAGTCCTTATTGGACTTCCCTCTATTTAACGGAAGACTCAATGCTGAGTTGTCACCGAGCAAAAGTGGTTTAATTAATTAATTAAAATTATATTGATAGTTATAGTTATAAATTTCAACATACAGTGTAACCTTGGTATTCAAACAGCTCCCATATTGAACTTTTCTGCATTCGGATGCAGTATTCATGTTTGGTATTTATCCGTTTGCTTGTCATTGACACATAAATACGCATCCCATACACGTCAGTTTTGCCATAGCTGTTGTTCAGTGCACAACCCACTACACTTTTCTCTTAAATATTTTTTATATTTTTGATATTCTTAGTGTAAATAAGTCACCATGTCACCTAAGAAAGTTAGTGATAAGAGCCAAGCAAAAAGAACAATGGTTATAACCATGATAGAGATAAAGAAAGACCTAAGTATGAAAGTGGTGCTCATGTGTCTGCTCTTGTTACCGAGTTCAATATGCCTAAATCAAGTTCTTTAATAAAAGAAGTGTGTTCAAAAGGGTGGGGGGGGGGGGGCAGGTGCAAAGTTTTCTTGAAAACTATCACCCTGACAAAGCTGTGACAACGGTGTTATAAACCTGTTGAATGACAATGCTATGTCTCACTTTAGAAAAAAAATTTAATGTCTCACTTTAGAAAAAAAATTTAATGTCTCACTTTAGAAAAAAAATTTAAGTGCAGGCAAAAGCAATCATCCTTGGACAAATTTCTCATAAGAAAAGCATCCAGTGAGTTTAATGAGGGAAACAGAAAAGAGAGAGAACCCCAAAAGCACAACCACCAGAAGTTATTATGGTAGGGAACTCCCCTGCCAAAGAATAACATCTCTCTTCCTCTTCCTGCTTCATCACTTTCCACATATGACATCAACTCTCCTAAGTGCAGGTAAAGTGTGTACTGTGTTAACATTTATTTAATTTAATTATTGCATTAATATACAGAGGTACCTCAGTTTTCGTAGTTAATCCATTCCCAGAGGCGGTATGAATACCGAGATGAATTTTCCCGTAAGAAATAATGTAAATTTAATTAATCTGTTCCACACTCCCCAAAATACAGTATTACCAAAAAAATACATTTTATACAGAAAATTACTCATAGTACCTTACCTTTATGGATGACTCTTGTTGGCATATGGAAGACGATGAGGAAGGGGGGAGAAGGAGAGGTGTTAGTGTTTGAAAGGGGAGTCCCCTTGCATTATAACATCAGGCAGTGATGACATTTCTGGCATACTCTCTCTCACATTTTGCAGGCATACCACTAGGACCTGGTTTTGGCTCACTACTCTCTCGTCTTACTAAGAATCTGTCTATAGACCCTTGTTTTTCCATATGTTTTAACACTTGTCTGTAGTGAGACATCACATTGTCTCACTATGAATGATCTCTTGTTTTTTCTCTATTGTCATCCTCACAACTATTTTCTTAGGTTAAACATTACCACTGACTTTCTTGGAACCCATGGCATGATATATAATAAGACCTTTTATGTTCAGATGTCAAAAAAGCACAAAAACAATGAAATTCATCACAAAGAATTCAAGAGTGATCATCACTTTACCAGACACTGGTAAACTGAAGCGCCATGCTCATGGTGGACCCGTACGTGTATGAACAAACTCAAAGCACCGAGGCAAACAACAAGTGCTGAATCAAATTTTTTGAAGAAATTGAGTACGAGTACCGAAAAATACGAGCACAGGGGCATATGAGTACTGAGGTTCCACTGTATTTATTTTTGTGGTCTGGAATGGATTAATCCAATTTGCCATATATGCCAGCGTACAAGTCGACATTTGAAGCCTAAAAATATCTGTCCAAAACCAAGGGTCAGCTTGTCTGCCGAATATAAAATGTGAACCTTTACCATTGAGAGATAAACAAGTGAAACGTCCTGCCTAACACTCTTTGTACACCACTATTACAGCCCACGAAGCAAGGGAGGCAGGCTGGCAGGTAGGCAGGGAGGAAAGGAGGGAGGCAGGGAGGAAAGTAGGGAGGCAGGGAGGAAAGGAGAGAGGCAAGGAGGAAAGGAGAGAGTGAGGCAAGGAGGGAGCCAGGCAAGGAAGAAGGCAGGCAGGCAGGGAGGGAAGGAAGGAGGTAAGGAGGGAGCCAGGTAGGGAGGCAAGGAGGGAATGAGGGGAGGCAGGTATGGAGGGAAGGAGGGAGACAGGTAGGAAGGGAGGGAGGGAAAGAGAGTGGCAGGTAGGAAGGGATGGAAGAAGAGAGGCAGTCAAGCAAGGGAGGAAGGCAGGCAGGCAGGCAGGCAGGCAGGCAGGCAGGCAGGCAAGGAGGGAACCAGGAAGGCAGGCAAGGGAGGGAGGGCAGGTAGAGGGGGAAGATGGACGGAGCCAGGTAGGCAGGCAGGCAGGCAAGCAAGCAAGGGTGGGAGGCAGGCAGGGAAGGGTGGAAGGTAGGCAGGCAAGGGTGAGAGGCAGGCAGGGAAGGAGCTAAGGAAGTAGGCAAGCAGGGAAGGAAGGAGGGAGCTAGGGTGGATGGGTAGGCAAATATGGAGGGAGGCAGGGAATGGCAGGGCTGGGCAGGGCAGGGCAGAGCAGAGCAGGCACCTTCTACTCCCAGACTTCTCTACAACACTCTGGGTTGATAGGGAGGCTAGCTAAATCAGTTGATGGTTGCTTCGTCATGCAAGAGAGGCTACACCACATGTCAAATTTCACCGCAGTACAAATTTCACCACACCACAAATTTCACTACACCTCAGTCTAATACAGTGGTACCTCGGTTTAAGAGTTTAATCCGTTCCTGGAGACAGCTCGTATTCCAAAAACTCGTAATCCGAAGCTAATTTCCCAATAAGAAATAATGGGAAATGAATTAATCCATTCCTGACTACCCAAAAACCTCACTTCAAACTAAATTTTATACCTAATTCATCTAAATAAACCTACAAAACTATGTTCAAGTTATTACTTACCTTGCTGATGACTGCTGTTGGCATATGGAAGACGGTGAGGAGGAGGGAGGAGAAGAGGTGTTACTGTTTGGAAGGGGAGTCCCCTTCCATTATAACATCAGGCAGTGAGGACTTCACTGGTGTGCAGTCTCTGGCACGTTTTGTCTGCATACCACTAAGACTTGCTTGTCTTGCTAAGAATCTGTCTAAAGACACTTGTTTTTCCCTACATTTTAACACTTGTATGTAGTAAGACATCACATTGTCATTTAAAAGGTCAATGCAACTGCCTACTACAGCTTTATCTGGGTGAGTTTTTTCAACAAAACCTTGCAATTCTTCCCATACTTCACACATTTTCTTAACACTTTAGCATTATCACGGCGCTCGAGAGCGTTACCACTTTTTGTGTTGAGGTCGCACAGCGGACTCGCTCACGAGTCACGAGAAAAAATATTTCTATAAACTCTATTTGTTATGAGATCGACTTTGGGATAGTTTGAAAATGTTCGCCATGAAATTTCCGTTTTCTCTAATAGCCGCATAGCCTATTTGGGAGAACGGCATAGCATTGTACCATCGAGGTAAGACCATTGTATTGTTGACACGACAAGTGTAATCGACGTAGTTTTTATTTGGTGCCGGTCTAACGCATCCTTGTGTGACATTTTATACTTATGTTCTTCTAGAACATTCTATTGCGAACACATTGGTACAAAAATGAAATACGTATATCGAAAATTAATGTCAGAACAGTGAAAAGAATATACACTTTTCAGTAGGGGTTTCGCCGATGTACTGTCATGGGTAACACTTCGGCCACTTTCCACACTTCCCATACTCTTGCGGGTGGGCTGCGGCATTGATTCTACATTTATATGCATATGTCCGAGTAGGGAATTTTATTGCGATCTCAGTGATGCCAAATTTAACGCTGTAGGACAAGTGTGGAGTTGACAACCTTGAAAAGAGTAGAAACATTTCGTCGCTGTTTGGTGCTCATGGCTAGTGATCAACGTAGTTCTTTATCTGGTGCTGGTTTAACTCATGCTTTGGTGACATTTTATACGTATGTTCTTCTAGAACATTCTATTGCGAACACATTGGTATAAAAATGAAATATGTACATCGAAAATTAATGTCAGGACAGTGAAAAGGGTATACACTTTTCATTGTTTCCGCTCGATCGTCCGAAACGCCGCACTATTTTCTTAGGTTGAACCTTACCACTGGCTTTCTTGGGACCCATGGCAAGATATATAATAACAACTTTTATGCTCAAATGGCCAAAAATTCGACAAAAAACATAAATCTTTGTGGAGAATTCACGCGGGATAGTCACTGGGCACAAGATACTGGTAAACTGAGGCGCGATCGCCGTGTCACCACTTGCTAGTCGGCCTGTATGCGTATCAACACCCTCGTGTTCCGAGGCAACCCTCGCCTTCCGAGGCAAATTTTCCGAGCAAATCCTGCTTGTATTCCGAAAAACTCGTATATAGGGACACTCGTATTCCGAGGTACCACTGTACATAGTCAGTATTCAAACATTTTGGCATTTGTATCACCTTCAAGAGCCAATTAAGTTTAAATACCAAGGTTCCACTGTATCTCTAATTCAATATTTCATATGTTTTATGAATTTCAGGATTATTGTATAATAGAATATGGAACAACCTGGAACTGCATATCAACAATGTCCATATTCGGTATGAAGACCTATTCTCGTGTCCCAGGCCTCTTGTTATTGGACTATGCTTACAGAGTCTGTCAGCAGACACCACAAACCAGTGAGTGCCCTAATCTTAATTCATTAGTTTTTAAGTAATTTCTAGGTGTCTTTTACACTACTATAAACATTAGATTACTAGGTTTACAGGTATGGTTTGCTCTCCGATTTTATGTTGGATACATATCTAGGGAATTTCTGAATAATGTAATCGTCTCAATTATCTTCATGCCTAGAATCTGAATCTGTAAAATGTCATCACATAACATCTGTGATATATCATATATGTTGAAAAAAACTGGTATTTATGTAGTATATTTATAAATATTTTTCTATCCTAATTGCCTGTATTTTTATGGCTTGTTGTTCATAGTACAGTACAACCTCGATTCAACATACCTCAATTCAACGAATCTCCGGCTAGTTCGCACACTTTTTCAGGCCGGATTTACTCACCCGGTTCGCTGAAGCAGGGAATGTTCGGATTTGCTTATGATGTCGAAACAGAGATCACAAACTGGTGGAAAACTTTCCCATTCTATCACATATTACAATTATTAATTCCTTCATATGACAAGTTTGATCACACAAGTGGACCGCACAAGTGGTCCACAAGTGGTCTACAAGCGGTCCCCAAGCTTACGATGTTGGGACAGAGTTCACAGAGTTGTGGAAAACTGTCTCATTCTATCACAGATTACTATTAATAATTCCTTCAAAAGACAAGTTGGATCACACAAGTGGATCACACAACAAGTGAACCATATGAACCAAACACCAGCCAGAATGGTCCACAAAAAGTGACACATATTAACCAAACACCAGCCAGAGTGGTCCACACAAGTGAACGACTGAGTTTCAATGATTTTTGTTCACCGATTTGTGGCACACGTATCTTTGTAAATTAATTTAAAGGCTGAAGCGTGAATAGCTAGCTAATGTGTTGAAATCTTCTTATGTACATTTTCAGTGATGAAACAAGACGAGTGAGGGTGGACAGGTAAGGGAATACTGTACAGTAAACCTTGCTTTACAGTGAGGTTTCACTCACTTTTGTCAGTGTTGTCATGTTCAAAGTCATGGGTCACTGAACTGTTTCACATTAATAAATCATTTCTAAAACTGGTGTTTTAATAACTCTTTATTATCCTAATTAAACTAAACTAAATAAAACCAAAAATATACTGTAATATGATAGATATCTGCTATTTTATATATTATTCACGTTATTGGCGGCACAACTCCAACACGAGTGGACTGGTCTAATCCCTGTCCACACAACACCATGCTTGTTTTGTTCGATTTCGTCACAACAGTTCAGTGATCTACGGCTTCGAAATTATAAAGTTAATAAATCAGTTCCAAAATAAGTATTTTTTATAGCTCTTACCGTAATAATGTTGCTAAACTAAACATGTAACCCAAAAATATATAATATGATGTAAATCGAATATTTGAGAGAAATTTATGTTACTGGAAATCGAACACAACACCAGGCGTGTTTTGTTCGATTTCGTCGCCACAGTTCAGTGACCTACGGCTTCGAAATAATAAAATTAATAAATCAGTTCCAAAATAAGTATTTTCTGTGGGGAGCCCCTACGGCTCCCTGGAGCTTATCGGGCTAATGTGTGTTATGTTAGACCGGGACATTAGCTAAGGAGTTCAGACCTACCAGGGACCAGCGCCAGAACCTGGCCCCTTCAGAGAGGTTTCAGGGAGCAATGGCCCTGGAAAACCCCATATGGTTGGGGGTTTTCCTTATCTGCCATCGACCGGGGTTAGGCACCCAGAAAGGTAGGCGTAACAAAACAAACCCCACATGGTAAGAAACTACAACAAAAACCGAACAGAGAGGTAGAAAACTCCCTACAATCCCAAGGAAACAAGCAAACAAGCAAACATCACACTTTACTGCCGCGCCGATCGTCCGCGCAGCCCTCCCCACCCCGGGAGGGGGAGGGGGGAGCCCCGGACCTACCGCGCCGGCTGCCAAGCTTCAGTTCGTTCGCTAATGTCAACCGGGATTGACGCTTCTCTGGCCTCAGTTTCCTGGGCGGTGTTTGCCTTGTGTGGCGTTCACTGCCGTGTGTTGTGGTGTGCGGTGGCCAGGAGTACTTCATCAGTGCCGGGGCTGCATGTGCTTAGTGGCTGCCTTCCCTAAGCGCCCTGTGAGTACTGCCCTTGCGTTACAGGGTTATCTTCCCTGGGGCGTTCGGGAACCATTCCCGTAGAGGTTCTTGCTGCTCGGCATTTGCCTCGCCCTTGGGGCCAGCTGGGGCTTGGGGCCCTTGTTTGGCCCTGGGTAGGGATTGGTATTGTGCTGGTTAGGGCGTCAAGGTGTTGCGCAGCCTGCCACCTAAGCGGCGGCCGGTTTCTGTTGCCTCTGGGGACGGTGTACTTTTGCGGGGTTTTTCTTTTGTTTTTCATTTTCTTGCCTGGTGGGGGTCTGCCTAAGGTGGTTATAGTTCCACTGGTAGTGTTTGGCGGCCCTCTGCTAGGCCCCCGTGCTTGTACACGTCTCGAGGGGTTTTCAGTGCTATAATCTACCCTCTTGTTATGTTTGGGTTTCTAAACCGGTTAGCAACACCTTGCCCGGGCTTCCCGTAGTTGTTACCCTACGGGCCCTGGAAACCCCTGTCGGGGCTCGGAGGACCATTGACTGTGTCTTCCGGGTTCCAACCCGTCTTGTACGGGATCGTTGGTTGCTGTTCCCTTGTCTCCGGGTGACAGTCGCCATTTTTACCTCCGTCATGCTGCCTGTTGGGTCACTGACACCTTGACCCGGAGTCTTGCGAGTGATTCTCTGCTTGTTCTCCAGTACTCTCATGATGTTATTAGTGTTCAGAGTACAGGCGGCATCCGTGTTGCAAGCTAGGTTAGGTTGCTGCAACATGCTAGGTTGGTTTCCCACTCGAATGCCCCGTGGCCGCCCCGTTTGGTTAGGTGCTGCTCGCCCCTTTCTCTCCATGTTCCCGGCTCCGGACCGTCTGCGTGTTTCTGGGTCGGGGCGGGGTTCAGTTGCGGCAGAGACTCGGGCGGTTTTCGGGGGATGCCCCGTTCGGGTTGGGGACGGAGGTTTGAGCCTGTGCCTCCTGCCAAGGCTTCTGGGTCTTACCAGCGGCCCTTTCTTGTTGCCTTTCCCATGGGCTCTTGCTTTTCTTTCAGGGCGGAGGGCTTGGAGGACGGCTCTGCCCCGGGGCCTCTGTTGTTGGTTCCCGGGGCTGTGGGGGATGCCTACTAGCAGTTCTGGGGCGGTTTTGCCCCTTCAGGGGTTTTTCTGCTGTTGGGCGTCGTTTTTCGCCCTTCCAGTCTGCTAGCTTCCCACATTTGCTGGCGTGTTTTTGTGTATTAAGCGTCAGTCACAGCCCCTGCTGGCGGCCATTTTCGTCTGCCGGTTTCCCGGCGTGGCCACCAGGGCGGCGTTGCGGTTTGTTTACATGCGCCTGGGTGTGCGAGCGAGCGTCTCTGGTGAGTTTTCAAAAAATTTGCAGGGTTTTTGTTCTCCTGTTGTCGTTTCTTTGTTTTTCTGGTGTTTTCTTGCCGTTGCCTGTTTCTCTGGGAACGTTTGGGTGTTGATTTGGGTCTGAGCCTCTGGGTTTAGGCTCAGTGCCCCTGGCTGGTATGCTTGCTCCCACACCTTGCCCCTCGGTTTTCGGTCTGTTGGGACCGTTTTCCCAGGGCGTTCTGCTGGGGTCTGTGCTTTGCCTTTTAGTGGTGTTCTCCGCTGGCAAATGTGGTGGTTTGGGCTCCCCCTGGTTCGATTCTGGGTTCCTTTGGGTTCCTTGGTTTCGTTCTGGAGGTTTCTTCCTCTTGGGCCCCCTTTTGTGGGTTCAGGGGACTTTGTTTCCTCATGTGACCCGGTTCTGCCTTTTGGGGTTCCGGGGTCTTCCTGGCTTGCAGACTGAGCTTTTTGGGTCTTGGCACATGTTGTGGTTGTGCTGGGACTTTGTGGTTTTGCTGTCGAGGTGGGCCTTTTGATGCAGTTTTGTGCCTTCTTTGCCTGGCCGGCGTAGTGCTCTTTGCCACTAGTCGGCGGCTTGTGCTTTTACACTATGTCCTCACCTAGTTGTGCTTGTGGGGGTTGAGCTCTGGCTCCTTGGTCCTGCCTCTCCACCGTCCGTCAACAGGTGTATCGGTTCCTGTGCCTCTTGGGCTCTGTCATGTCTACATGTGACATTGTATGGGGGTCAGCCTCGTTCCTTGTGTGAGGAGTCGCCACATTACTTCTTAGTGCTTTCCCGTTCCCATTCTGACACTCACAAAAAAAAAAAAAAAAAAAAAAAAAAAAAAACTAATTCTATCTGTGGCTCTTTTGGGTACTCAGTTTCCACCTGTGTCCCCTAGTGCGTGTGCCCCTTGTGTTACATAGCCTGTCCTTCTCAACCCTGTCGATTCCCTTGGGTATCTTGTATGTGGTGATCAGGTCTCCCCTCACTTCCTCTTCCAGCGAAGTGTGGTTTCTTTCCCGTAGTCTCTCCTCATGACTTCGGTAGTGTACTTTTTCTTTCTGAAGGGGTTCTGTTCCCTTCTCTGTTGACTGGGCGCTGGGGGAGCAGCTTGCTCTGTTGCCTCTCGCTTGGTCCCGCTGTTGGTGGGCGCTTTGGGTTGTCTTCCGGCCTCTGCTGGCGTCGGAGGACGGCTTCTCCCCCTTGGGGGGGGTTCAGAGCTGGCGGGGTGGGCTTCTTCCCTGCGCTTCGTCCTTTCCTCTTCGTGGGTGCGTGGGGCGTGGTCGATCCGCCCCATCCTTCTGGGCTTCCCGTCTGCTCTTTGCAGTCATGAGCTTTTCCCGTCTGCTCTTTGCAGTCATGAGTTTTTCCAGTCTGCAGTTCTTCTGGACTACTTCCGTCTGCGCCCTGGATCCTCTGCCCTGCTCGGAGGACTGTTGTCTCCTGTTCGGATTCTGTTAGGGCCGGGTGCATGGATGGTGGACCTGGACCTCCAGGTCACTTCTTGGCACGTTCCTCTCCAGTTTTTCTGGGGCTAGCACGGTTGGTAATTCCCTATGTGTACTTACCTCAGTGTAGTTACAGGATGTGAGCTACTCTCGTGGTGTCCCGT